AGTCTTTTATTGACATATTTGCATAATGTACGGGTTGCCTCGATATTACTTTAAGTCACAAGCTTTTTAAACAAAGATGGATTATGGCTAGTAGTGGAATTCAGGACAAGCGTTTCGTCCTATTTGGGACTCGTCAGTTGGATGTACCTGCATTCCAGAGTTAGTATGGAAATGTAGAGACAATGAAGTCTGAGAGGATTGATCGACACTTGCAAAAGGAACAGTCAAGTTTGAGATCATTGATTGACATTTTTCAAAATGGAGTATTTACTGTATGGTTCTCAGAATTTACTAAGATCTTCTGTAATTTAGTATTCAAATACATTCGATTGTCCCCCACACCCCACTTATGTGTTCTCATTCACTACAGGACAATTGATTATTTACTAGGAGTTTGTATAAACAGTCTTTAAGTAGTGAAATTGATAGAGAATATAAATATGTGTATCTATTGCATGTTTACAAGTAATTAATTATTTACAAGATAAGTAAACATTTAGTTAGATTAAATAGATTGAAATAGAATAAACAACAATAATTCGATGGAACTAGAAAGGAATACCTAGGACAAAGTGAGTTGGAGGAGACTGCTAGTCAGCGACCTATACTCCATCAGGAGGGAAGGGGGCGGGTAACAGGCACAAGTAAGTAAGTAAGTAAGTAAGTAAGTAAGTAAGTAAGTAAGTAAGTAAGTAAGTAAGTAAGTAAGTAAGTAAGTAAGTAAGTAAGTAAGTAAGTAAGTAAGTAAGTAAGTAAGTAAGTAAGTAAGTAAGTAAGTAAGTAAGTAAGTAAGTAAGTAAGGTAAGTAAGTAAGTAAGTAAGTAAGTAAGTAAGTAAGTAATAGTAAGTAAGTAAGTAGTAAGTAAGTAAGTAAGTAAGTAAGTAAGTAAGTAAGTAAGTAAGTAAGTAAGTAAGTAAGTAAGTAAGTAAGTAAGTAAGTAAGTAAGTAGTAAGTAAGTAAGTAAGTAAGTAAGTAAGTAAGTAAGTAAGTAAGTAAGTAAGTAAGTAAGTAAGTAAGTAAGTAAGTAAGTAAGTAAGTAAGTAAGTAAGTAAGTAAGTAAGTAAGTAAGTAAGTAAGTAAGTAAGTAAGTAAGTAAGTAAGTAAGTAAGTAAGTAAGTAAGTAAGTAAGTAAGTAAGTAAGTAAGTAAGTAAGTAAGTAAGTAAGTAAGTAAGTAAGTAAGTAAGTAAGTAAGTAAGTAAGTAAGTAAGTAAGTAAGTAAGTAAGTAAGTAAGTAAGTAAGTAAGTAAGTAAGTAAGTAAGTAAGTAAGTAAGTAAGTAAGTAAGTAAGTAAGTAAGTAAGTAAGTAAGTAAGTAAGTAAGTAAGTAAGTAAGTAAGTAAGTAAGTAAGTAAGTAAGTAAGTAAGTAAGTAAGTAAGTAAGTAAGTAAGTAAGTAAGTAAGTAAGTAAGTAAGTAAGTAAGTAAGTAAGTAAGTAAGTAAGTAAGTAAGTAAGTAAGTAAGTAAGTAAGTAAGTAAGTAAGTAAGTAAGTAAGTAAGTAAGTAAGTAAGTAAGTAAGTAAGTAAGTAAGTAAGTAAGTAAGTAAGTAAGTAAGTAAGTAAGTAAGTAAGTAAGTAAGTAAGTAAGTAAGTAAGTAAGTAAGTAAGTAAGTAAGTAAGTAAGTAAGTAAGTAAGTAAGTAAGTAAGTAAGTAAGTAAGTAAGTAAGTAAGTAAGTAAGTAAGTAAGTAAGTAAGTAAGTAAGTAAGTAAGTAAGTAAGTAAGTAAGTAAGTAAGTAAGTAAGTAAGTAAGTAAGTAAGTAAGTAAGTAAGTAAGTAAGTAAGTAAGTAAGTAAGTAAGTAAGTAAGTAAGTAAGTAAGTAAGTAAGTAAGTAAGTAAGTAAGTAAGTAAGTAAGTAAGTAAGTAAGTAAGTAAGTAAGTAAGTAAGTAAGTAAGTAAGTAAGTAAGTAAGTAAGTAAGTAAGTAAGTAAGTAAGTAAGTAAGTAAGTAAGTAAGTAAGTAAGTAAGTAAGTAAGTAAGTAAGTAAGTAAGTAAGTAAGTAAGTAAGTAAGTAAGTAAGTAAGTAAGTAAGTAAGTAAGTAAGTAAGTAAGTAAGTAAGTAAGTAAGTAAGTAAGTAAGTAAGTAAGCAAGTAAGTAAGTAAGTAAGTAAGTAAGTAAGTAAGTAAGTAAGTAATCAAATTGAAATGTCTCCCTTTTGTTTTGATTAAATCTATCTAACATAGTTAATTAGAAATTTGTATACAAAAAAAACAAGTAATAAACATTGTGTTATTATTTGAAATAAACTAGGGGGGGGGGCGGGTTAGTATGAAATGATGATGCAACATGATATTGATTATTCACCACCACCATCATCATCATCATCATCGTCATCGGAAAAAATGGGCATACAATTTGTTGATTTGTATAATTCTATCGGGGGGGGGGGAGAGAGAGAAGAGATTGAAGGAAGAAAAAAAACGAAAGACGATATGAAACTAGGTGAAAAACAATAGTGTGAAATTGTGATGATATAAGTTAACATGAAGGATCCATTTAAATAACTATGATTATTTAAACAGGTGAAAACAATATTATCCATTGTAAATCAAGGAAATGTGTTGTATCTTAGTGAAGATTAAATGGTGGGTAACTTCTAATATTTTATGTATATTCTTACTGTATACTTAATCAGTAAATACACTATGTATATCTATATTCCTTTTATTATTAGCTTCATTTTGATCTATAGATTATTATTATTATTATTATACGATTTACCGTTCTTGCGTTATGTTCAGTTTATTGATTACAGTCTCCTACATTCACAACCACTTCCTATATTGTTGTGTGATGTGATCTGTTTGGATGGTATATAAACCAAGTAGATCTATTTGAAATGAATGATTTGCATAGTGGAAGGTGTTGTTGATGATCTAAACTCAATCGACAGGACTAGGTGGCTAGATTGTTCATGTCGACCGAACATCAGTGGTTCGACACAATACGAAGATTGTATAAATCGTATTTCGATTGATGAATAAATCACTTGATGATTAACCGGGTTTAAAATCGCAACAATATGACTTAGCAATTCACTTATTTCTGTCAATGGTAATGTTTATAATCTATCAATACTCCCTAGGACATCCAGATTTTCCATGGTGGTTAGATTTGTAGATAACCTAATTTATAAATGATGAGACTTGTTGTTTTATCTTTAAAAACAAATAGGATCATTATTTTGAAGTACTGTGCCAAATAAGTTTACAAGATATACTACTGCAAAGCATAGTTAGTAGTAAGACAATAAGTGTTAAAGTCAAACTGTTGGTTACTGTTAAAATAGAAGGGAACAAATTTCCTTCTAGCATTCAAGATTCTTGAGTCACACAAACAAGTGATAATCATATTACGATCTAATCTATTGAACTGAATCAAGCCTAAGAATTTAGTAAACATTTGGATTCTACAGATCAGTTACAACTCGAACTATTCAACAGTCATGTTTTTTGAATATGGGCTCTAGGACCCTAAAGAAACAAAAGATGTGTGAACCTATTGTTGGTCATTGACTAACATAGGACTGCATCCGAGCAGTATCACAGCCTACACAGAAATCAAATGACTTGTGTGGTGCATATGTACTCAATGCCCCTTTGTACCAATATTTGTGTTCAAATAAAAATATATTTACCTAGTTGTATTTTATTAGTTTAATAGCAATTTGGTCACCATCATAAATAACTCGACTTCGTTTGTACTTTGTTGAGGCTCTTAATGGTTTAAGGTAATTAGTATAAAACCCTGAACTTAGGTTTCGTGATAGTTTGTACTCGTCATCAAGGTATTCTTGTAACCTTGAAGGGAGGGATGATTCTTCTAGGACTCAGCCCTTAGTGATCCAATATCACATTCTGAGATATTTTGTTGAGTTGTTTGAACTGCAACTGAGTTCCTATAGGATAAACAAAGTCTCTCTCTCTTTCTCGATATCTCTATTGATTGCTGATTGATCCGGATGGAATTACTTAATGATTCTTTGAACATTTTTTCGATCTGTAATGAACATTTTGCTTTATTCATGATATCATCAATAAGAATCTTATAATATCTATCATGTGTCAATAGTATAGGGGTTTAAGGCTAGCAAGCATTCCTGTTATTATCCATTTCATAAAGCATTTCTATACTCAATAAAGTATACTTAACACTATTTGATTAATAAGGAAGAAGAAGAAGAAGAAGAAGAAGAAGAAGAAGAAGAAGATGATGATGATGATGATGATGATGATGATGATGATGATGATGATGATGATGATGATGATGATGCATCAGAATAAATTACAATAATATTTTAAATACTACTTTAATCTAACATGGTGAAGAAGATTTATAGCCCAGATAGTGAATGATTTTGATAGAGTTTTGTTCTCTGAACTGGATGGTTTGATCAGAGAACAAAACTCTATCAAACACTTACACCTATAATTCCCAATAAAGCATAAACCGTTGACTAGAATTCTCCAACCCATTCTGTCCTGGGCCTTCCTTTCTAGTACTACCCGATTCTTGTTCATTCTTCTCACGTCTGTCTCCGTTACTCGACGTAATGTGTTTTTTTGATCTTCCTCTTCTCCTTTGGCCTTATTGATTTCAAGTGATGAAGGCTTGCCTTGTGAAGCAGTTAGCAAGAAGAAAAAAGAACTCTAACCATTATAAACTAATCTAATCTTAAATTTCATAATTGATATCATAAATTTAATACATAGTAGTAGTGTATTTCTATGGGAATATTGACTTTTTCCCTCAAATCACAAAAGTTGAAATCAATTCTCTCCTTCTTTCTTTCTTTCCCTCTTTTTATCCAAGACAAGTATATAAATAGAATTGAGACAGATTGATCTTTTTTAAAATGATTAAAGTATCCATTTTATATTCGTTTCATTTTAACTGAATGAGTACTTGACAATAGTTGACTGTCTATCCATAGAGATATAGACATAGTTTATATTGGAGTAGATACGGGAGAGAAATAGTTTGAATTTCAAATCATCCTATTTATTGAATAGTAACAAAATAGATTGATTTAGGTAGGAATTGTAATGTGAATATGTCACTACTACTACTACTACTACTACTACTACTACTACTACTACTACTACTACTACTACTACTACTACTACTACTACTACTACTACTACTACTACTACTACTACTACTACTACTACTACTACTACTACTACTACTACTACTACTACTACTACTACTACTACTACTACTACTACTACTACTACTACTACTACTACTACTACTACTACTACTACTACTACTACTACTACTACTACTACTACTACTACTACTACTACTACTACTACTACTACTACTACTACTACTACTACTACTACTACTACTACTACTACTACTACTACTACTACTACTACTACTACTACTACTACTACTACTACTACTACTACTACTACTACTACTACTACTACTACTACTACTACTACTACTACTACTACTACTACTACTACTACTACTACTACTACTACTACTACTACTACTACTACTACTACTACTACTACTACTACTACTACTACTACTACTACTACTACTACTACTACTACTACTACTACTACTACTACTACTACTACTACTACTACTACTACTACTACTACTACTACTACTACTACTACTACTACTACTACTACTACTACTACTACTACTACTACTACTACTACTACTACTACTACTACTACTACTACTACTACTACTACTACTACTACTACTACTACTACTACTACTACTACTACTACTACTACTACTACTACTACTACTACTACTACTACTACTACTACTACTACTACTACTACTACTACTACTACTACTACTACTACTACTACTACTACTACTACTACTACTACTACTACTACTACTACTACTACTACTACTACTACTACTACTACTACTACTACTACTACTACTACTACTACTACTACTACTACTACTACTACTACTACTACTACTACTACTACTACTACTACTACTACTACTACTACTACTACTACTACTACTACTACTACTACTACTACTACTACTACTACTACTACTACTACTACTACTACTACTACTACTACTACTACTACTACTACTACTACTACTACTACTACTACTACTACTACTACTACTACTACTACTACTACTACTACTACTACTACTACTACTACTACTACTACTACTACTACTACTACTACTACTACTACTACTACTACTACTACTACTACTACTACTACTACTACTACTACTACTACTACTACTACTACTACTACTACTACTACTACTACTACTACTACTACTACTACTACTACTACTACTACTACTACTACTACTACTACTACTACTACTACTACTACTACTACTACTACTACTACTACTACTACTACTACTACTACTACTACTACTACTACTACTACTACTACTACTACTACTACTACTACTACTACTACTACTACTACTACTACTACTACTACTACTACTACAGAGA